CTTGAGCTGGTGAGTTAGAACTTCCAAAGTGCTAGCAGTCATCAGAATTAGCTGCAGTACTAAATTATAATCCTTGCACCACCACATCTTATGTGGTGAGAGCAATAGCTTGTAATTTTTTGCAAAGGTATTATGATCCATTTCTTTTTAAATCTTTTACAAAGTTAAACATTGGGTGTTTGCAATAATAAGATATTATCAAAATCAGTAGGCAAGTGGTGTCAGGAATCAGGGCATGCCACGAGATAGAATGGGTGTCAGGCCAGGCCATTGGCTAGTTGCAAGGAGGATGACTATTGGTGGAATAACACATGCCTGATATGCTTGTCATGTTTGCTGATGGATGCTTCTCATTTGTCCACATTATCAGAACCGAAAAAACTGCACTGATGGGTGGGGGATGAGGACATCCTTTAGTTCAATTTTGCATGGAGCCTAGTTCAGAATTAGGTAAACTGTTTTATCATAGGAGTCAGAGAGCAGCCTTCATTGCAAGTTTAAATTGTACCTTCTTGTGCAGAAGTGGGAACCGTTGATCGAATATTGTTGAACCACAGTTTACAACCATTCTAATTCCATACTGAAATGAGACTGATAGGAACTGTGGTTCAACATTTTGAAGATGACATGTTCTTTTAGGTCAGCAGTCACCAACTGGTGGTCCATGGGAAAATTTTGGTGGTCCATAGAAAAATTATTTGCATTTTTATATTGCACTAAATACTATTTATCTTTTTAAAAAATCATATTAGTGGTCCGTTGGTTTTAAAATTATGAATATAATGGTCCCTGAGATCCGAAAGGTTGGTGACTCCTGTTTGAGGTTGCTGATTTCTTCCAGTCCTAATTCAGATTCATTCTGCCTGAATTGCAGTATTTGTTTTATTCTTTTTTTTTCTTTATATATATCTAATTCAGTCCATATATTGTAGACTTGCTGCAGCAAACTGAATGCTGGAATAATATTACAAGAATAGCTTTCTTAATCTATGCTCATATTTTTAAGTGAAAATGTCGTGGCCTACTATTGGATTAATAAAAAAGAGAATATGTCTTTATAATTTTATTGTATATATGTCCAATCTATTAACACCCTAGCATCTTAAAAAAAAAACCAGATCCACAAGGCCTCAAAATTCATTAAAAGTTAAAAAGACAAATTAATTGTTTTATAGCTTTAGAATTTTAAACCACCCAGTCACTTGGTTGAGTCATCGTATGCTATACCACATGCTGTAAATAATTTAGCTTTGTTTTCTATCCATAGGCATATGGTTGCTTTTCAGTTTAAATAAAACTTCAAGAATTCTTGGCATAAAATATGATATAATTAATGGTGCATATTTTCAAGCGGTATCTAAATCAAGAAAGGAAAGCTTAATTAAGTATTGTGTAATTTAAATAGCAACTTTCAGTATGCTTGCATGAGATATACTTTATTAAATGTAATTCTATTTTAATATAAGCAATTTAAAGAAATCCAAGAAGATGGTAAAATAATTCAGGACTGCTTACTGTCCTCTCACCCCTCCAAAAAAACCATAAACATGAAGTATTTGTGTTTTCAATTCTTTTAGGAGTGGGTTTTTAAAATATGCTTTAAAAACTTCCTCCGTAATCCATAGAGGAAAATGATATTTTCTTTTAAAACATAGTGATGGAAGGGGAAATAACCATATTTCTTTGAAGAGTATTATAGATGTGTTTTTAGAGCTCTCTATATTTTCTTTAGTGGATGGATTTCATCTCTCACTGGACTTAACCAGAGCATTCCAGTAGGCATTATGATGATAGTCATAGCAGCACTTTTTACAGCTTCTGCAGTCATTTCACTAATCATGTTTAAAAAGGTAAGTGTTTTTTTCATCCAGAAAAATTGAATTTTTTAAACATGTTTTAGCCAATCAAACTGATTACAGTTGTAAAAATAAGTAGCTATATGCAGATGGGTTGACTAAATTCTTTCTTGATACTATTCATATTTGATATACCATATTTAGAAATTAAATAAATAAAATAGATTTCTTTCATTATTAAATTTTAAAAAATAGCAAATTAGGTTGATTTAGAGCTTGTTTTATTTTAAGATCTCTTGCAAAGAGAACCCATTATAAAATTAGGGATTATTTCAAGATTATACACAACAACAACAAATTACTTTTATTCTTTCTTGCAGTATTTCTTAAAAATTCTGCATTTTAATATTTAGAAACCAGATGTGTTGCATCCAATTTTAAAAGGGTGAACTCTTGCCATAAGAATTTTCCTATCCATCCCCTCTCTGTAGACTTTATTCTGGTCAGAATTGTGGATTTGTTCATTTCCACATGCTTTTATTTACTGTTTCAAAATATGATAAGTGGGAAAATACAAAATAATGTTTAATTGAAGAAATAACTGCAGTAGTAACCTACGTGT